GGGTGAGTGGGGACCATCCATAAACAGCTCAAGTTGTGAATGGAAGGAGATGGATTGGGAGCTGGGTGAAAACATGTCACGCGGCAGAAAGAAAAATGAGCAGCTGGGTCGGACCAAATTGGTGTCTGATGAAGGACATGGGGCTGGGTGGAAAAAGGATCATGGGGCCGAGGGAGGCTGATGGGAAACAGCTGGGGCCAGGCACACACATCTGGTGGAGTGGTGAGGGGAGAGGTGGCACCAATGCTTGGGTTGTCCCGTCAGGTGGCACATCATGGGGTCAATGCTTCGCTCCCAGCTCAGCCCCAGGAAGAGTGCAGCTCTGGGGCTGTGGTAGCAATGGGGTCAGGTCCCCACCCATGCTTCCTCCAGCTTTAGGGACATACCCCATTGGGGCTCCACAGTGTCAATGGGTGCCCTGGTGGAGGAGCTTCCTCCACCATTTGCATGCAACTAAATGACAATCAGCATAATGAGAGTGAATGCAAACCGAGCTCCCAGTTTGCCACTAACTCCTTTTTTTAACCTTGAAAAGGATTTCAGCACAATCGTGCTCTGGCATCCATACTCCAGTGGGTTGGGGACCCCACACCCAGCCCAGGTCAATGCCATCAGATGGAAACCCCTTGTCCCCATGGAAGGACAGGTGCCACTATGTCACAGTGTGGCTTCCAGAAGCCTTTTTGAGCTGAGGACCCCCGAGACCCCCCATCGCCCCAGGACTCCCCTGGGAATGTGGCCCCATGCTTAAACATGAGGAGTATATTTAGACGCTGTCAATTTAAGTTTGCGCATCAACCTTATAAATATGAAAGCCCATCTCAGAGAGATGTTTTAAGATACCTCATCAGCCCTTGGAAAATATGCAGGAATATTAATTAGCCAGATTTGGGTATTATCTCATAATGAATAAATGAAGAGACGCTGTGGAAGATAAAGCACTGTCGACTCACGGGGTTTTCTAAGAGCAGTGCAGCTTCGGGGTCGTTCCCCCTTCACCATGCCCACACCGGGGCCACGCAGTGCTCCTTCTGCCCTCAGGACCTTTTTTCTGTCTCCCCCCCACCCTGACCCCCCCTCAGCCACCTCATGCCCTCCATCCAGGCCAGGACAGGAACTTCCCAGTTGCTGTAGAAACAGGGATGAAAGATGTGCTTCCAATGGAAAAGCCAAACAAATAATGGCTTTGTGCACTCCTGGTCAGGCGATCCTCCACACCGGGATGTGGCCACTGCAGGGCCCTTCTCTGGGGGGTGGCCAAGGGGGTCCACGGGGCTGTGGGTGGCTCCTGCTGGACTCCAAAGCCCACACTGAGATGGGAGTGGTGGCCAGGTCCTGGGGAATGGGCTTTGAGGGACCCCATTGCCTGACGGGTGCTCAGAGCATCGCTGCAATGAGATATGTGCGGTCCTCAGTGCCATGAGTCCCCATCTCCACATCAAGGAAGGTCAAAATAGGGCCTCATCTCCACGCCAATGGAGCTCACCATGGGTACTCACCTCCACGCCAATGGAGGTCACCACAGGTACCTATCTCCACACCAAGGGATGTCATCATGGGGCCCCATCTCCATACCAAGGGATGTCACCATGGGGTCCCATCTCCACACCAAGGAAAGCCATCTTCATTTGCAGATTTTGAGGCTGGCAGGTGGGAAGGGGCTGGGGGCCAAGCAAGTGACATCTGGGAGGTGGCAGGGGATGGGGACACAGGTGTGGGGGCCTGCTGGGCACGAGGAGGATAGGAGGGAACGGCTGCTGGGGAGCGTTCTCTTGTCCCATCCCATGTCCCTGATGTCTCCATGTCCCCGATGTCCCCTTGTCCCACCTCTCATCCCCTGCATCCCCATGTCCCTAACATCCCCTTGTCCTATCCCACATCCTCCCTCCCATCCCACGTCCCCACATCCCCAGTGTCCCCAGTGTGCCCTTATCCCATTCCCCATCCCTGCATCCCGGATGTCCCCTCGTCCTGTCCCAGTCCCCATGTCCCCATGATGTCCCCACGGTCCCCAGCGTGGCGGCTGCCGGGGCGGCGCGTGGGTGCGGGGCGCTGCCGGCTGCCGGAGCTGCCATTGTTTGCCTTCAATCAAGATGTTTCAGGCGGAATCAAAAGCACCAACTGGGGAAATCATCATCACAAAAAATCTTGCGCCTGCAAAATAGGTCAAGTAAGACTCCAAAGAGAGAGAGCGTCTGATCTGCATTGCAAGGAAGAATAGCAACAGCTGTGATCTCCAGTATATATGGATGGGCTTGGGGGGGGATAAATATATATATCCATGCATATGTATAACCGCTTACAGCTGTTGGGCCGTATGTTCATTAGGGCCAACTGTTTTGGAGGCAGAGGGATCAACGCTAATCGGGAAAGGGAGTTTATCACCACATTCAGAGGCAAAAGTGTCAGGAGCAACTGCGGCCCCCTCGCCCCCCCGCACCAGCTGTGCTGCTCAATGCCCCATTCAGCAGCACGGGGCACAGCGGGGCAGCTCCCCCACATGCAGCACCCCATGGGCTGCCGTCCCCATTGCAGCCTGGGTGCGGGGACCCCCTGCCCCAAGGCACACCCCAGAGCTGAGCTGTCCTGTAGCCCATCCTCGGGTCGGGCCCCAGCAGCTCCCCGCTATGGGGCCGTCCTGGCACAGTGAGTCACATCGGTTGGAAAGAAGTGGAGCCGGAACTCGCTTCCCTCTCAAAACTCCCTCTGAACTCGGTCACGCTGAACCAAAACCAAACTGTTCTCTGCTTTGCTTTTTTCCCTGCTAATTTTCCTGCCAGATCAGCAGGGAGCGGGTTCCATGACACACACACTTTTTTTAACCTACAAAATGACTTTGGAGACAATATGCTGCTCTCGAAGCGCACCATCCTCGCTTTCTCGCTGCTATGATAGTTTTGGATGAACAAAAATCCGATGGAAAAAGCGTTCCTCCAAAATCTGAGTGGTTCCAGCACCGGCAATCGCCTCGTTCCTCTGGTGAGATGGAGGGAAAGCAGAGGAGGCAGTACATGGACAGACAGATGGACAGAGGGGTGGACAGATAGGCAGACTGATGAGTGGACAGACAGATAAAGGGACAGATAGCTGGAACGGACAGACAGTCAAACGGATAGATGGATGGATGGCCTGACAGATGGACAGGCAGACAGACGGATGGATGGACAAACAGATGGACAGACAGACAGGCGGACAGGCAGACATACAGACAGCTGCCGGAAAAATGAAGTCCGCGGAAGGGAAAGGATCACCCCGAGACACCATGTGTCTTTCTACTAAATTTTAATGATTTATTTTTTTTGACAAAGACATCTAAACCATACACCGAGTACCAACATGAGCAGATATTGCAAATACCCCTTTTTGGTGGAATTCGGAAAGGGAACATAAAAGAAAGAGCTTGCGTGGGCCTGGCCACAGCAGGACCAGGATGGAAGAGGCAGTGCAGAAGAGGCCTCACCCCACTGCAGTCAGCCAACGCCGTCTGCTGATCAGGTTCAGTTCCGATGGAGAAAAACGCCTTTAGCACACAAGGGGTGGTACTGGGGTGCGGGGAACAACGCGAGGGCAAGGACAGAAATTCTCCATCGGAGCCAAGTGGGGAGATGGGGTTTGAGCACGAGTCCCCGCTACAAACATCAGAGCCCCATTTCCTGCCGTGCCCTTGGAGAATTTCACTTCTCCATCATCTTTCCCCTCCAGAGAACACCAATGGGCAGGAGAGGCGTTTTTAATCTATCACAAAGGTAAAACCAGATTTAATGATGTGAAAGTGAAGCACGACAGCCTCCCCCCGGGAAGGGAATTAACCCCTGCGACAGACTCCTCGTGCCTAGGCGGGGGTCGGCCGTGGCTCGGAGCCTTAAATCAGGCTGCTGCCTGCCTGGCAGAGGGGCTCTCATTCAAGCGAAGGCATCGAGCTTGCAGCGAGCCTCGCTGGGTGGAATTTAATGGGCTGTGTTATGCGGGAGGTCAGGAGAGAGGAACATAATGGTCCCTTCTGGCTTTAAAAATCTATGAATCGATGCAATGTGTGGCAGAGCTCCACCCATACCAATGAGATGGTTTGCTTTGCTCGGATCTTACTTCAAAGAGGGCAAAGCAGAGTTGGAAGGACAAAGCCTCCTCGGGACATTAGCATGAAGCAAATGGGTCAGGAGGCAGAGGGGCAGCGTTTGTGTTCCCAGCTTCACAAGTTGTACTGAGCCGGGTGCTGCTGGGGGCAGGGTGGCAGGTGAGCAGAACCCCACATCCCTTTACATTTCTATCAGGTCAATACACAGAGCTTACAGTACAGAGAGCATTTATGGCCATAGCTGCAAGATGATTTACTTCAGTCGTCGTAACCCTCCACCTCCATCCTCCCAGGTAGACCACATTCATCTACCAGATGACGGGTGAAGCTCTGGCTGGAGCAGGACCAAGCAACCAGGATGTGTGCAAACATAAGGAATGAGCCAGCAAACGCTTCTGGATCCTGAGTTCAGTAAGGCAATTTTTCCTTCCAAACTGGAGCAAGAGTAAATTTACAGCATTTTACACATGCTTCCAAGTATAACTGATGGGAGCCTAAAGAAATAGCAGAGCGGGGCAGCACTTAGCTCTGCAGTCCTGCAGGTGAGGAGGGCTCTCTTCTGCTCCCAGGGGGGGTTTTGCTTTGTTCTGACGGGGCAGAGGAGAGGAGCCAAAGCACTTCACTCAGCACCCAGTGCACGGTGACTGCCAACTTAAAGCCTGGGACTGTTTCCACAACCCAAAGCGTGCCTTCCAGAAGGGGCTGCAATGCTTTACAGCACTTTCGTCAGGCAGATGTGTGGGTAGGGAGGAAAAGGGGACCTCTCACACACGTGCTGGGATACATTTCTCCTCCTTTGGCTCCAGAGACACGAGGGCTCAGCTTCCTGAGGCTCCCCTTAAGCTAACACAGTTGCTCTGTTTAAATGAACATCTCTCCTCACGACTCCTTGCTCAATGCACGCCAACTGGAAGCGTGTCACTTCTTTGTGTCATTAGCTATTGCCTAACAGCTCGCCGGAGCCTCCCCTCCCAGCCCTGCTTTTTGCAGCAGGCTGCATCACTCTGTCTGCACGTCCCGCCTGGGCTGCAGACAGATGCACTCAGGGTGCTGACTCACAGACGCAGGCAGATTACACTTGGATTGCTGCAGCAGTTGCTGTCCCAGCTGTCCCTCTGCCCCCAGCCACAGCAATGACAGCTGAACTATGCGCAGCCCAACCCCTGAACCGTCCCCATGTACGGGGGGACCTGGAAGCGGCCCCAGACAATTTCAATCAGCCGGGCTCTAACACGGAGGCGGCTTCACGCACAGTGCAGATGTTTCTGCCGTGAGCTGGAGATGTCCAGGGGAAGGGACGAGCGAGGCGTGGAGCTCCAGGGGTGTCAGCTGGCCGCCTGGCTCCATGAGTCAGCTCGCTGGTGCGTGGTGAAGCCACATGCCGCAGGACACACAGCTCGCCCCGTGCCGCCCGCCTGCAAGAGGTGGAAGGGGTAAGGCAGTCCCCAGCCAGCCCTGGCCTTTCGCAGGCAGGCGGCAAACAAAGCTGGCAAGCAGGGCAGTGGGATTATTTTACCATCTGTGCATTAGAAACTGGCCCAGGAGTCACCAAGCTCGCTTCAACAGGACGTGGCTGCTTTGGCGCGCTAAGTGACTCCTGCCCGCTGTCAGCTGGGGATAGATTTGAATCACGGACAAGGAGGTGGAAAAAGCAGTCGCTTTTCTATCTCAGCAACCGCATCCTTCTGCAGGAAAGGCATTTCGGGGGACAACAAACCCTAGCTATAAGGAGTGTTTCCCATCTGCCGTTGCGGGCTCCTCACCTCCACCCGGATGAGCTGCAGCTGGCAGCGGGCTGGGGGCACCTCCATGCAGGGCTGCTGAGGAGGGTGGGAGAATGGGCTTTGCACGCTGCAGAAAGGAAGCCTGGGACCTGGTATCTCATTCTAGAAAGTAATCACGGACTTAATTGCATTTTGCTGCGGAGTTGCCTTAACATCAAGGGAAAATCAACAGGGATTGTTCAACATCAAGACTAATCTCACATATGGAGCTTACTGAACACAGGAACCACGTTTTTGCTGGCTCAAGGTGAAACGCCGGGCTAAATTCTCCTTCAGCTGTGAGAAAAGCCCCAGGCACGCTCATCCTGCATTATTCCAATTGTAAAGAGCTTCAATTATACACACATAACCCCCTTCCTTCTACGGCGTCGTCGCAATGTAACAGTGTCTCGTTATGATCAAACTCCTCTTTTATGGCTATAGGAATATGCTGAAGTCTTCTACCCTCATTACACAAATGACTTCTTATCAGTTATCAGTTTTTTTTTTTTAAGAAACTACCCACAATTGGTAACAAAACCGCGTTTTATCTGTCACTGAGGAAAAGCTGTGACTGACACCTGAGCGTGTCCTCAGCAACTGCAAGCCTGCAAGGATAGGGCAGCTCCTATGCATTTAAGCAACTACAGTAACTCACACTCCCTCTGCTTCACACTGAATCAGTCTTGCTTCTGCTTACAAACTTGCTGGCTAATCAGACATTTAATACTATTTATGCATAGGGAGGAAATATATAATTCCTTTATTGGGATAAAAAATGATACTAAAGAGCAGGTCAAGTTCCAAATCCAGCAGTAGGTTTTAACCGATGTTGTTCCCCTTTTTTTTTTCTCTCTCTCTTTTTTTTTTTTTTTCCTTTTAACAGCTGTAGCTGTGCACAGATGGAAAAACATTTGGTCAGAAAGCAGCAAATTAGTGTTTTCAGGCTAGAATTCTGCTCCCACCGCTCCTCCATTTCCATGCAGCTCAGAGTGCTTTATTTCTTCTTTGCATTGACATTTTTGCACACCCAATTCATGCCGTCCTTTAGACAGAGAAAGGCAGTGTTAGTCAAGGGAAGGGAAAGAGAATCTCCAGTCCTCCTCTGCCCCATGCCTGCAGTCTGTGCCCAAAACCACTGTGCATAAAAGCAAGCGCTTCATTGCTCAGTTATTAAATCCTTCTTCTGACCATAAAAAGTATCATCATCTCATCATGTCAGTATGCCTTGGTCCTTCAAGGAAGGATCACTTTGCAGTTAAGGTATGCCAGCAGCAGATCGAGGCTCAATTCTAGGTTCAGATCATTTGTGTAACCTTGGCCATGCCACCTTGTCTTTGAGACTATGCATTTTAAGCTGTTTGTTACACAGCCAGCTCCACATTCAGAGCGTGCCTCTAATTCTCTGCACAGCTGCGTGCCTCCTGTGTGTCCCCAGGCAAATCACATCAGCTCAGATGGACGAAAGTCCCTTTAATCATGGCATGTAGACTCTGTGCTCTCAGAAACAGGCACTGTGGGGTAACACAGTGAGAATAGAGGTGGTCATGTTTTACAATGCCGATACACTCATTAGGGTACTTGTGTAAAAACGTGTGCAGCACTTCTTGCTATTGCCAAGTAATAGGGCAGCCCTTCAGTTGTGAATAACTGAGCATGAGTTTCTTGCTGAGGTCCCAGAACAGGATATGCCACTGAAGGACAAAGTGACACTTTATCCCACTCCTGATGTTTCCCTGATGTGAGGTGCAGAGAACGGCGTGCAGGATGCACAGTTCTCATATTTGTGTCCCACCAAACCCACTCCTACCCTACCTACAAGGCATTGCTGGTGCCACAGGCAGAGAGAAGGCAGGTAGGGTGGGACATGGTTGTGCTTGTAAATTGGGTGAAAGCCACTCTGGAGCTCTGGGAGGATTTCAGTGCATCATGTTCAATGGTCAACATGCTGAGTTAAAGAATAAGCATGCCCAGTTTGTGCTGGCTGCACGTGGGGCCAGGTACTAATAACACTGCTACCTCGAACCTGAGGGAGGGCTGCTGCCTCCACTTTCATTTATTTATCTCCACAGCAGAGATCGGCATAAAACAAATTGTCTGAAATCCTCAGAGCAAATGGGAAAAGACGAGAGGTAGATTCATTTTAAGGCCCAGTAGCTTTGTGTCTTCCCCTTTCAATAACACCGATAACCTAGGTGTAAAACATGTAATGCCTTAAGCAATCAATAGCATGGTTTAAAGCTTATCACTTTAGAGAGAGAGGGAGCCAGCCTTCCCAGCCAGAGGAATGCCAGGGCTTAACAATGGGGCAGGGAAGAGAGGTGTCAAGCCTTTGGCTCCATTGTGTGCTTTAGAAATGTGCATGATTGCCTGCAAAGAGTGAAAATAAATAAATAACTAAAAATGCTCCCACAATGATTTCAGCTTCCCCTGCCTCGGAAGCAATAATCACATTTGCACACATCATGGCATACAAGGCAAGCAGAGCTCCTCATTCATTTTGAATGTAGGTTTATTTGCTGAACCAGAACAGCTGAGACAGCTTAAAGTAATAAATATCAGCTGACACTCTCTGCTATTCAGCACAGTAATCCCAGAAACAATACATCACTGCAAAACAACAAACACGCATCCTATCTTCTGCCTAATCTGACCACAACCTGAATTCACAGTGATTAAAACTCTGCCTGCTGCCATCAGGGAGCTCAGGAAGGGGAAAGACAGACCATTTTAGCACTGGTATGGTGAGGGTCATAAAGCAGAGTTTATGATGGGATTTACCATGGCTGGGAGCCTGGCTGCATCAAGCATATAATGAGGGCAAAAGAATGACATAGCAAAATGCAAGAGGAAAGGTGAACTCCAAACAGGCTTGAAATACGTAAGTAGGTCGCTGAACTTTTAAAGCAGGAATTGATTTTAAAACTCTCTTCTGGCATTAGATAATTGACAGGAAGAATCACATTTAATTGTAAATATCTCCCTGCCTGGCAGTGATAAAGAGAAAACGAATGCAGCCAGCTCTACATGTGATGTATCTTCCTCATCTTCAGCCATGCTGCAGCTTCTGGTGCAACTTCATTGGGGCATGTTTTCTGCAGTGTCCTGAGTGCAACAGCAAATGCAATGGAAGGCAAAGGAAACAAAAAGGTACGTTTGCAGTTTTTCTACCTAAGGTCTGAAGCGGGACAGGGGGGTTGTTAAGACAGAGAAATGGAGAGAAGCTGTTATAAACACAAAGAGCTCTGTGGGGAAAGCACAAGGGAAGGAGGAAAAGATGCTTGAAAGAGTCAAGTCCACAAGGAGTCGGCTGCAGTCATCCTTTGTCCCTGCATTTTCTGTCCCTATATCTGCATGCTTAAAAGATGGCTCTGTGCAGAAAGTACAGTCCCTACAGTAACATTTAGATCTTGATAGATGTCCTTGGGCTGCTTTGTTGAGACAGAGACGTTGGCAGATATGCTGAGGATGGAGACGGATACAATATTAGTATTCCAGCCTCAAGTCAACCATGGGAAAACTTAGCCAGGAAAAGATTTCAGATCTTTCAGCTTCAGCTCTCTTAGCTCCTTAACAAGCAGCTAGTAAACTTTACCAAAGCAAAGAGAGAGAACTCCAGGGAAGAGGATAATGCTCCTTGCAGAGAAATGCTGCTTAGCGCAGCCCCGCCTCGCTGCAGTCACATCTGCTGTTGTGCCAGGGGAGTTGTGCTGTGACACCCTTTGGGAAGGAACTGGTAGAGCCTCCCCCAGGAGGAATGCAAAGTCCTGTTTGAGATTAGCCCACTGCTTGCTTATTCTCTGCATTATCAGCTTTGTGGCTGTGGGAGTGAAGTAATCTGACTTCAAACACAGCGAACGAGTCCCTTCCACCCCATAAAAAAGCATCCTAATTTCTGCTCCCCTGCAAGCCAGGGATCAGGCAAGGCCACAAACTTGTGACCCCTAATGTGACCTTAAGGACAGCAAAGCTTAATCCTTTCATGTAATCTTCTGTCTGCCATAACAAATTGGGTCATGCAAGTACAAAATTCTCTATCTCTAGCATTTTTGGTGTATGTTATTTTAACTGTCGCTTTCTTCTCCCTCTGCACAGCTATAACTGTGGCTTCATTATCTGTCATTTCTTTGCACCTCTGCTCAGCATACAGGCAGGCTTTATAGGCTCCCACAAGTATACCATCCTTGTCTTTGCCTGGGTGCAAGCTTTTTTGTCCTCTGAGACCTTGTATCCCCAGTGCAACTTTGTAGAGTCTCTTTTTACCCTGCTTAAAAATCACAAGACTTAGCCCTGTAGTCTGGAAATACTGCTGCTTTTCCTCATCATAACTGGCTCTGCCTGCCCCAGGAGAGCTGCAGTAGTCAAAATTGGTTTAAAATCACATTCACAAGTAGCCTCAGAACCTTCTTAAGATGTAGGAGATATCTGGCCAGCCTGCTGTGGCTTAGACATCTTTTAGACAAAACCTAGCTCAAAGGATGTAACGCAGAAGATTGCTGGGAGTCCTGTTCTGAATCTTGCCCCTGTTAGAGTGGTGAATTGCAGTACCAGCATCATGTAGGTCTTGGGCTCTGTTATCCCAGTGGAGAATACAGCCCAACAGGGAGAAGTAAGCAGTTCAGCCCATCCTACAGTCCTTTGGGCCAGACTGGTTCTGGCATAAATTAGAGTTTAGTGGCTACTCTCATTTCCACTGGCTTTTAATAGTCTCCTGGGTGCTATTATGCTTGGGAGACTCTGGACACAATATGCTGCAGCATCACTCTGGAGGAGATTCCTCAAGGCAGGCTGAGCTCCTGCTGCCTTGATCCAAGATTCTTGCTTCAAACAAGAAATGAGCTGCAGAGCACAGACCGGTCCAAAGTCTTCAGTCACGTTTAATACGTACTGCCCCCACAGAAGCATCTCCAGCAAAAGCAGGGGAGTCCTGTTTGCTTTCACCTCATACCAGCTGGCCAGGATGGAACATGCATAGCTTCTGCACGCTAATTAGAGACGTGGTCACAACCCCAGGAGAGTCCACATGGCAATGGAGAGCTGCTGTGAGGCAAGGTCTCCCTTGTGTTTCTCTGCTGGAATTGGCGATCACCTCCCTCATTTGTTGTACCACACACAAGGGTCTCAGTGTAAGCTGGAAACGGGATGCTGCTGCTCCAGAGGCAGAGTCCAAACAGCTGTGTCAGGGAGACAAGGCTTTCCTGACTGATAACTAGTCAGAAGGTTAAAATCATATGCAAGCAGAAAGCTTGTTTGAAATAGCTTCTAAGGTGAGGGATGTCATTCCTCTTGCAGTGATATTACGAAGGGTGATTGAGCAGACAAGTGTTGCCCATGATTTCACTCTGGAGGTAACGAAGTCTTCAGCTGGCACAATGCAGGATGCCAGCTGCCTTCCAGAGGGCTTCCTGTATGGGGCTTCCAGTTAACCCAGCCACCTCTCTCCTGAGCCTGCCCAGAACATTGCCGGGCCCCTCTTCCTGAGTCCCCGACGGTTAATTTTAAAAGAGAAGATGACAATATGGATTCCCTCCTTAATTAACAGTTTTATTAAATAACCCAATTCAAATAATAGTTAAATTCTCTAAATTTATATCATTCTATTAACCATAATCTAATCTCATTAACCTTGAAATCCCCAGTCTTAACTACCCAATTCTATACACCATGGTGCTAGCAGCTAAACTAATTAAATGACCTTCAAACTATTTCTCCTTCATGTATCGGCATTATTTATCTTTGCTCATTGCTCTTCCTTCAAGCTATCACAAAAATCTTCTCCTATGAACTCTGTTCCTCTGTGTGCTGAGTACTAGATATGCCACCACTCTTCCTTGCAAAATCCATCGGTGATGTCTCTGATTTTACTCCAGCTAATATATTCCATCAGCAGTGATGGTTAGCGTGATTGCTCTTTGCCTTTCATTCTGAATACCTGATGCTTCCACATCTTCATTTATTTTTTTGTCACTCATTGTCATCTCTCAAAGAAGTCCTTAAAGCAGTGACCTGATCACTTACTACACATAGACGGCCTCCTTCTGAGCCACTGGTAGAGATAGTGTACCATAATTCTCAAAATCTTCTCTCTTCATCTCATGCTCTCAACAAGGTTTTCTTTGATTCCCCTACATTTTGAGCATGTTGACTTCTGAGAGTCCCAGGGACGAAGACATTCTTCATTCCTGCGCTGATCCAGTTGCACCTAAGATCCTTTAGTTTAAAAGCCATCTTGGAAAACATTCTGTTCAATGAACTGCCAAGAGAAGAAGAGCTTGGCATCCTTGCTGCCTGATTTGACAGGGCTAGAATTATGGCACAAGAGAAATACAAGGGCTCTTACTATAAGCTGCAGAGAGTTTGTGATTTGCCTTTTTGCAACAATCACTTATGGAATAAGCTGCAGTATTTAGGGCAATGAGACTGGGGACAACAGTATGTTATCTGCCCTCCATCTAAATTAATTTGTCTAGATAAGCACAAAGAACAAAATCTATAGGGCTGTGAATACTTTAATTTAGCTCTCATCTTCTGTTTTCTGGAAGAAAGTACAGAACTGGATTTAATTTCTCTGGGTGAGAACATTGGGCTTATATTCTGGTCAACTGAACGCATATGAAGATGCACTACACTTCAAGGAGAGAGCACAGAAAGGAAGACTGAGCAACAAATAAGTGGGCAGAGCACTTCAGAGAGCCTGCAGATCAGTTTGGAAAAGAGGCATTTTTCATAGCTCATCAACAGAAAGTGCCATCTCCTGTCATGTAGCTCTTCCACATCCAGCACTCCTCCCAGAATCTCATCTGCCACTCTACTGCCCTGAAGAGCTGGACTTAGATAAAATAGAGGAGGGCCTGAAGGAAGGAAGCAGATAGCCTGCATTTGTCTGCAACCTTTTGAAACTGCAACCTCACTTTCTCTATCTTAATCACGATCACATTTCTTTGGACTTCAACATACACTGCCACTGCAGAATGTATTTCCCTCTTAAGACCACCGCTTCAAAATAAAGATTGCAGAGTTGAAGCTTTTCACGAGGTTGGTTACAACATAGCTCAGTTTGTATTTTAGCTACCTAAGAGCCTTTGAAGGACACCGTCTGAAACATTTAGGTCTAAATGTTAGGTTAAGAATTTCAAAGCTAAATAACTACTGTAAGGGGTCAGGTCAATGGATGCCAAGGGAAAGAACAAGTAGGAACTGGATTCTTTCTCCCAGTCTATGGCCCAGGCTGTTCCTCACCCAAAAGTTATCCCCAGATCTTGTCTGAGGAGCTCTTTAGAAATCTGCTTAATATTTTTCCGAGCCAACCAACACCTTTGGTCTCCCCAGCATCTTCAGCCAAAGAGATCCACAACTCAATTATGCAACTAGCGAAGAAGCAGCTTTTATTTGTTTTAAATCGTTGCTTCACTAGGAACCTCCTTTCTCTAGCAATGTAGAAAAAATAGCGTATAGTCTATCTGTCACTTTTGTATCTCATAAATCCCAAAAACATTCTCACTTTTTGTCCTCTCTCTCTCTCTCTTCGAAGCTGCAAGTCCCGATCTATTTATTCTCCTTGTTTACAGATGTCACTCTGTACTGCTGATCATTCTCAAAATAATCTCAAAAAAAAAAGATCCTCAAATCTCTCATACTTCTGAGCAGATATTTGGACAATACTTTTCTTGATGGGAGCAGTTAAGTGCTGGAAGATATTATGTAGAGGGATGGGGGAATTTCCATGCTTGGAGATGCTTACAGTTTGAATGGACAAGGCCCTCAGCAACCTCCTTTGTACTTTTAGTCAGTCGTGTTTTAAGCATAAGACCCTTCAACCTAATTTCTTCTTGGACTCTATGATTTTACTGCTGCTGAAGTCTTTTTAGATGGGAATAGAGGCAGAAATTAATGTCGTGTTCAAGGCTGGTGCCTACCATGCCTTTATTCTGTTACAGAAGAGAGTTTTCTGGAAAGTTCCTTTTCTAGTTTCTGGCAACTCCCTAGCATTTGGTTTTCCCTTTTTGGCCTTTGCTGAGCACTAAGCTGCTGTTCCCAGTGATCTGCTCTCTGAGTAATGGCAGCTAATTTAGAGTCCATCATCATATATGTCTAGTTAGAGTTGTTGTTCCTCATGTGCATTATTTTGCGCTTGTCAGCACTGAATTTCATCTGCCATTTTACTGCCCACTCAGTATTGTGGGCTTCTGCTCTGACTCTTCGTGCTCAGCTTGAGTTCTGGCTATCTTGAGCAGCCCTGTAGCATCTGCAAATAAGGAATTCACTGAATTTGCAGTGGAGATAAATGGTTTCATGATTTTGTTTCTTTAAGTATCAGCGAAGGGAATAATCCTGACTGCTTGGATTGGGAGCGCTGCAAATATTTCATTAATTCAGGAAAGCCTAAGAGTGAAACAAACAAACCTAGGTGCCATTTACATTACAAAGAGCTACTATGCTGCAGGAACTGGCTACAGGAGCAGCTATTACAGTTCAGCTCAGGAAGACAGCTCAGCCCCCCGTGGGGGTTTGTGCTGCCCCACATGCTGCTGTTAGAAGTGGTCTTTGCCCCATGTGCTGGTCTCATGTTTCTCAGATCAGAAAAATTGATCGGCTTTTCTCTGGCGCCTGAGTTGAGCAAAACGCCAAATGACATTAGTAGTGAAGGTAAATCAGATTTCTAAAGTGCACATTGTAACAGTCAAAGGGGTTAATAGTAGAAGGCGATTTGTTTTGTGAAAATGATTAACCTGACAGCAGTCTCTTTAAAATAAATCAATGTCTTCATCTGGCCCGGTCAAGGGGTCCCGGGTGGGGAGGCGAAGGCTCCCGTTTTCCAGGGACAGAGAGATCCCCAGGGCCCACAGCTGCCCCTCCCCTCCACGCAGGAGGTGAGTGAGATACATGACCCCGTGCAGTGAGCAGTGAGGGTTTGGCCGTGCTGACCCTCCTTGGAGATGCAGCCAGTGCAGCCCCACCCTGCAGATCACAGACAAGGATCTCCCTCTCGCAGATGGCCTGCTGGCACAGCAAGCCCTCTCCAGTGCCTCACCTGTACTCCCTCTCCTGAAAGAGCAGAACAAGACTGGATCTGCCAGACTCTGTCACGGATTGTGTGTAGGTTCAGTCCCTCGGCAATCTCTGAAGCAGGGGCAGCCGTCAGCAAATCCTGCTTGTTAGCGAATATGAGCACGGGGACTCCACCAAGCTTTTCTTCATCCAAAAGCTCAGCCAGCTCCTATATCATTTACAAGAGAGTAGGGTGAGGGGAAGGCGGAGGGAGGCAAGGGAAGAAAACCTTCAACCACCAGTGGTTGTCTCTAATTAGAAATATATTTAGGGCAAATGCTGGAAGAGCGTGTTCCAGTGTTCTTATTATAAGAGAAGAAAAATGTATACAATCATCCGAGCCCAAGGTTCAAAAGCTATTTCTTCCAATTACAGGTTACAAAAATCTTCATCTTAGTCTGAAATTAGCAGTTGCCTTAAAGGCTACAGCTCTGTGTTTTACCAGTCGCTGCTCCCCAGAGACCAAAATTGATGAAACAGCAAAAAACATGTAAATTGGCAGGATGAGGAATCTGTTTTAAGTTACTGCCTGACTGGCATTTGTACCTGAGCAGCCGCTGACACCAGCCCTGATATCTTCACTAATAATGACTTTCAGGGGTTTGTTCCAAGTTCTATAAACTGCAACTTGAGCAGCAGAGGACTTTTTCTTTCTTTTTTTTTTCTTTTCCACCAGAAATGGAAATCCCACAAGAAAGTGGCAATGCTTTTGAAGGCATTGGCTAGCTGAAGACAAGCTAGGTCAGCCTTGCTAGCTGAATTTTGGCTCCATATGCAGAGTACACATTGGGTGGCATCCTGAGAAATGGGTTTGTTCATTCTAAACTGAATGACTCAAAGAGAGTCTTTTAATAGCCCAAATCTGAATCTGCAGTAGATCAAGGATGTCTGAAATACTTCATGTCTAGGATTGTGCAATGGCCTCACATGAAACAAGCAGTCTCAAGTCACTTCCCTATGTGAGCATATGGCAAACCCAGCAGAACTTCAACCTATAGGGACTGCTGGTATTGCAGAGAGATGAGTAGATGAGATTTTTTGTGGGCTCCTTATTTAGCTGGAAAGGTTTTTCTCTCAGATGCTGTCCTGATATCTTTCATTCACTGGCCAGACACTTTTGGATTAAAGGAGCACAGTCAGAGAGATGCTAAACTGCGGTGGAAATCTGATTCCATCCCCTCAAAAGCAATGTTTGGTTTGGAAACCAGGGCGAGAGAACAGAGTTATAAACAGAGTTGGCCAGGAATTTTTTGACAAAATAGGTCTTTCATCTGACACAGCTGATTTACTGAAATCAAATTATTTGTGGAAATGTGAGGGGTCCAATCTGAGTCCACCTGACTCAGGCAAGTGCTCTACACTTCTGCTTCTTCCTCCTCTCTTTTGCTTAATGAATATTTAACTACTGATTATAAAACAAAACAGCATCAACAGGAGAGAAATTTCCCCTGCTCCTAGAATAGCCAACAGTCCTTCTGTTAGGGTGTGCCCTTGAGATTAGAGAGACAAAAAATCAAGTTCCTCCTTCTAAACAGGCAGAACAGAGGGCTTTAGGTTAAATCCCTCATTTCTGACTCCCATTTCAAGGGGCAAATCTGCTGTTAGGTATTTTGAGACACTGTCACTTTCCAATTTTTGTAACAGAAAGTTCAAGAGTCCTATTTTTGTTCCATCCTAAAACACAAAACATTACAAAACATCAAAACTTTGCAGAACGGAAATCTTATTTTCTAGCCAGTCCTAGTTACAAAGTTCCTGGGTTGGTTTTTGTTTTTTTTGTTTTTTTTTTTTTTTCAATTACATCCAAAAGACAATCAAGTCAATATGATTTCCATTTCAACTTCGTAAATAAGAAAATAAGATTCCTCAGGGTCTTGGTTTGGCAAGGTTTAAAGGACTTAGAAAAAATTTTTTTTTTCTTCTTCTAGTATTGGGCTCTGTTTGCTATTCTTGTATAGTTTTAATGAAAACCGTTCTATTTAAACGGAATTAGGCTACCTATTTTCCTTGTTTCACATCTACCAAAATAATCTGCATTGATGTTGAAAGGCAAGTCTCTCTTGAAATGCAAATTTTCCTCATAAACAACAAAATCATCTCCCTAAGTTTTGTGAGCAAGGGGCACTCAGAAGCACTCTGTTACTTCAAAGGAAGCTGGGCATAAGTAACTCACCTGACCCGTTTCTTCAAACCTCTTCCTATCTGCACTGTCAATGACATAGATCTGAAAAAGAAATGAGGGGAAAAAGTTACTTTTCCCAGAAGACACTCTTCCTTAGTATTGCATAAATGAGCTAAGCCTAATAATTATGGTTTTGGGCACAAAGATACTTAGTATTATTTATACACCAAGTGTTGGCAAAACATCATGACGTTTAGAGAGGAACCTCCTTTTTTAAAACCCAAGGGAGTGAACAGCCATGTGGTTAGGATCAGAAAGTTGCTTGTGGCAGTACTGGGGATGCTCTTACTAGTTCCATGTTATCTGAAGAGAACGAGAGACTGCCTGGCATCGTCACAAATGGCCAGCTTACAGGCTGAAGCTGAGTGTAGGATGGCAAAACGTGGGGATCCAGACATGGTTGTTCACCACAGCAAATAGTGCCCAAGCTCTGCAGTGCTGTGAATAGACCAAGCTGCTCTCTAGCAGAACGTGTCACCTTTTTGTAAGCCAACAAGGCACATAATAGCGCTCAGGGGACAGATGAATATATTGGTCACATTGAGTTTCTGTCCTACCATGACCTCCTGGGACAGGTGGCTGGGGACTATGGCTGGATCCAGCTTGCAAGACTCTGTCTTCATCTGTCAGCTTGTCTTTAAGGGTGGCAGAAGAGACAGGCAGAAGCTGGGTCCCAAAGTCTGACCACAGAGCTCTTCCATCTCCTCTGAGCTGGGTACCACATCTTACAATCTATGAGGAGGTTCCAGGCAGACATCTGTCCCTGGGTGAGAGTGGTTCTCCAGCCTGCAGGCTCCCTGTCTTTGGAATGGGTCCCCGCTCTCTCCAGCAGCATGCCGTGTCCTGCTTTCCTTTTGTAAATGCCTCCTGCGCAGGCTAAAAGGTTCCTCAAAGACCCCACTAGGTAAGGGATTACTAAGTCCAGCCACCCTTCCACCTTCCCTCCAGTAGTGCTACTGTAATTCAGAAAGCACGTATAGCAAACTACACCTAAAGAAATTGGGGAACTTCTGTTCCCCAGGCAATCACATCCAGGCAAGAATCACCTCATCTTACAGGAAGGGGAAGGTTGCTGGGGCAGCAGACAGGGACAGGACTGGTGATAAACACTGAGTCTTTCGCTTCCAGCCCCTGCCATTCTTCATCAGTGCTGACTGAAACTGCTAGGACGTCATATGCATGCTCTTTGGTGGCTTACAGGGAGCAAGTGTCAGCCTGGTTTTGAAGGAATAGATGAGCACAGCACCCTGCCATCAAGATAAATGGCATCCTTGCAGGCAGTCTCAGCACAAGACTCCATGCTTCCAGGATAATTCTGACCAAACAGCAGGGGGAGGGAAGATCTCCAGCAGCACTGTCTACTAAACTGTAGGTACACCCTTAGTGAGCAGTGCTAGGGCTGTTTAGAACAGGATCAGACGAATGGTAGGAGAATCTGTGTGCCAACCTTGAGAAGGAGGAATCTCTGCAAGCTCACTGGTCTCTTAGCTGATCAGCTGGGATCTGTGGTCCTCACGCACACTGAGAGAGCCTATGGATACATTGCAGGGTTGGACGCAGCTGTGCAGGGACGTGGTAGTAACGCACGTGCCTGGTGCCACGTGATGGGGAAAGGCCCACAGGCATGCGTGACACAGCCTTTCCCTGCAATGTGATCCCAAGCACGTGCAAAAGTACTGCATCAGCTACACCTGTCCTCTCTGTCCCTCCCAAGCAAGCCACCCCTGTGTATCCCATTTGAGGTAGAAAGCGTGGACTAGAAAGAAAGAAGGAAGATGTAGAGTGGTGATTGTGAAACTTGATTATCATCTTTCCCCCTTCAGGAAATCTCAGGGGAAGCTTAGCAACACACGAATGCAATAGTAGAGTGCTATTTCTTAGATAAAAGGTTACACCTCGCATATTACGGTGCTTCTCTAACTGGCAAGGAAGAACCCCATGTCACAGCCAGGCAGCTTTCTCCTGCACCCCTCTGTTTCTTGCTAGGGAGCTATTTTGCAAGATGAGAACTGGAGACACAGCGCTAAGGGCAAAAGCCACAAAAGCACAGCAGAGAAGATAAAGTATGTGCAGAGTGCCTACTTCCAAACCAGAAACCACTGTGCCAAATAGCTGCAGGTGCCTGTCTGAATATGCAATCAGTCAGATATCCACACCTTATTTGCCTGGGTTAAGCTTCCAAATATCACAGGTGTGTGATGCAAGACCTAGCTCTCATTCAAAGGCACCTGCATGGATTTGAATTTGCAATCACTTCCTGCTTTTTAATACTTCTTAAAGGGTTCTTTCTACTTTGTGCAATATATTTTAGGAGAAGATGGAAGCAGGGGGTCCTGGGAACTGTGGCATATCTTCTTTCCATCTTTCTCCTGCAGTGAGGCCCACACAAGGCTAGTTTCTGGCTCTAGTGTTTTGTAACATGGTTCGCTGGTTTGAGCAGCCCTCAAAGTAGTGTTTTGGAGCTTGAGAAAGAAACTCATGTGAGGATGGGTGTCTCCTTTGAGTAGCAGGCCTAAACAAAACCTGCAGTAAGTGAGCTGGGCAGAAATTGAAAGCGGTGGGGCTGCATGAGGAAATAATACAAGGGATAAGTTAGCTCAATTTACAGAGGCATGACCTGCACCAGGTTTGCAAGAAGAGATGAATTACTGGCTGTAAGGGATGCAAGAGCTGACAAAAGAACTTGATCTCATCTTTTTTGCTGATATCCCAGTTTTGGTGCATATGGATGTGGCAAAGCACTGCACTAACATGTAGACAGCTCCAGGACTGGCTGCTGGCTGGCCAGTGGGGAGTGCAGGCTCATGTCCACATACACATCAGTTATTCCCTCTCTGAATTCACACTGCTGCTTCCCTCCAAACTGACTCTGGTTCTACCAACTATCTTACTTGTATAAAAAGAAAGGTTTTCTCTGCATGTTGCTTTAGCTAGGGTGGGAGGAGGGCTGGGAACACAGCTGTATTCATCCCCTGTCTTTGAATTCACCTTTATTTCTACACCTTTCATGCAGCACACCCTGGGAAGGGGGGAAGACTACAGTCCAGCATAGCTCATTGCTTTGCCAGCAGAGCCTCACAGGCACTGTTCTGCAGTTGTGCAGCCTCTGCAGTCTGAACAACTGCTGTAGCAAAGATTCCCTGTCTGCTGCTTTGCAGTGTTGATTTTGATTTGCAAATCTACATTCACCCCACCAGCAGCTGCAGAGCTCAGATCCAGTGGGCATGATAGTCCTGCAGCCATGTCATGTTTTCTTGATGGCCACAGAAGAGTATGTGTAGTTTGTCCTGCTAGTTTTTCAAACACAGATTTTCTCTTTATAAAGATTACACCATTACTCCCTGAAAAAGCAAACCACTCAGGTTTATGCCCCTTCAAACATCAGATTGCAAATTAACACTGGAAGAAGAGAATCCGGAGAAGAGACGAGGGGACCTTTTAGACCTATTTAAATAACATATTCATATGGACAATGTTTTCTAAGCCTGCAGGTACAGTCAGACCCTTCAGGACCCTTACGTGAGCCTCGGAGCAAAAAGCCCAACTCCTGGTTGCACTGATCCTACTGTAGAAGTGAACTGAAGCTCCCAGCAAGTCAGTGGGTATGTATGCGTGTGATACAGAAGGGAGGAAGGGCGTCTTTCAGAGAGAGCTTCCTGCTTTCCCATGGGAGCCTGTAGACCTTGCTTAGAATGGCTTTTTCTCTGCTCCCACTGGCAATGCTGCTTGGCAGGGGGGTGGGCCTGGAGCCCCCAGACTGTCTCCATCCTGCCACGTGTGGCTGCATGTTAGAGGTGCTCTTTGAAACTAGTCAGGACAGCATTTAGAAGGTCCCGGGGTAACGTGCTCTGGCATGGTCCCACAGTGTAATTATAATGGTAGTCAACTGTAGCTAATTGTAAGGTAACTGCAGCTAAGATGTCAAAAACATTAAAGGACGGTGTAATGATGAAAGGACCAAAGGAAAAGACAAGGGGTCTCTCTGTGCCCCTCAGCCAGAAGCCTTCCTATCTGATGCCAGACACAACATTTAACTCTTCTGTGCTTCAGTTTCCCCAACTATAAGAAAGGCACCATTCTGACCCACCTCCATACATGAGGCTTAAGTCACTCATACCCATGATGGGCTTTTGGGAGTTTCCAGTGAAAGGAGCCATAGATGGGCAAACTACAAGTAATTGATGTTCACTTTTTTGAAAGAGCCTGAGATGAGAGGAAAGGAACTGGCCACAGTCAGCACCATCCCACGGAAGTAAAAACATACAACTGAACGATTTCTCCAGACATCACTGTATTTTTCTTAGTGCACCCAACCAATCTTGCCATTTCACTCGGAATAACTCCTGTTACAATGGCAATGGTGTTGCTGAGAACTGGGACTGACACTGCTTGTTCCTTTCTGGCCAAGACCATGGATTACATGAACACAGCATTCAACTGCAGCCAATACTTACAAGGATATCAGTGTTTTCAAAATAGTTCCTCCAGTACGGCCTGATCTTCCTCTGTCCGCCTATGTCCCATACGTTCAGCTTGAAGCCTTGAGACTGAACGCTTTTGATGTTAAAGCCCTGGAAAGAGCAGAAACAAAGGCACATAGAGCATAAAGCCGAACGGCTGGATCAGATTCACAGGCAGACATTAGCACCTTATATATCCTATGCCTGCACCATGCTGTGAGATGGGCCAGGCAGCCATAAAGATGGATCGGCTGCGGGAGAGGCACCGGTGAAAATGAACACAGCCACTAAACCATCAGCTTGCCTGTGTTCCTGGGTCAAGGGTTGATGCTGTCATGGCTACGGAAACATATGATGCAGTTAGTACCCTGGAAAGGCTCAGCAGGGTGGGTGCAGGAAGAGGTGGGAGAGCTGCAGATAAGGAGAAAACAAGGGCACTGTGAGAAGCAGGATTGAGCTTGTGAAAGCTGAGTAGAGAGTCCCAGCTAACGCGAAGCCAGAGGTCTCAGCTCAATTCGACACAACGCAACTAATGCCGGGCTTAAAAGAGCAACAGCTGCATGTCTGAAGGGTCCATTTCATCAATTAAAGCACCAACTGAAAAGGCATTCAAGTAGAAAAACAGGATGTGGCGTGGGCTGGCAACGTGCTGCTGCAACACCCAGGGGACTGGGACTTCGAATTAGGGTGTTGGAGCTGGGAGCTTTGCAAGGCAGCTACAGGGTGGGGGGAAGCATCTCCCATAGCTCTCTAGCAACCTCCTCTGGTCAACACAGGAGCAATGCTGCAGCATTTCTGATGGGTGACTTCTCTCTCCCCAGCCTTCATGCAGAAAGGGGGCTGGAGGTACCAGAGGGGGAACGATGGAATATACAGGATGTTTGGAGTTGGCTGGTTATAAGACAAAAGGCCTTCCTCACCTGTGTTGGTGTGATGTGGCTTATGTCCTCAGATGCCAGCTGTTTCAGGAGCGTAGTCTTGCCTGCATTATCCAGTCCCAAGAGGAGGATCCTCACCTCCTGGTCTGGGGTGCTTTTCAGTTTACGCAGGATTGACAGTAAACCCTAAATTAGCAAGAGAGACTGTAGTTGTTATTTCCCTTCTGACTTTCCCTGCCAGGCCGTGCTCCCCAGGTTCTGTTCAGTGCTGGATCTCAGGACAGGCTGAACCCCTTCCCTCTTCCAGTTTCCTCTCCTACTCTTCCCCCTCCCCACAATTCTCCTTCATCTCCAAGATCATCAGTGAGGTCTCAGACAGCACAAATGCCACTCAGTGGGATGCACCACTGGCTGCATCGCTCATGTCACACAGCTGTTTGGCACTGCCTGTGCCAGGAAGACAGTGCCTAAGGATATTACACGTAGGAGCTGCAAACCAAGTCCTTGCGAGCTCTTCATTATCTTTATCAGAGGGAAAACCCCATTAATTTAATCTCCCTCCTGGTTAACTGTAGGTTACGGCATACCTGACATCAGTTCTTTTCATAGTAACTCCCTGATCATCTCAAACCCCGTTTATCTGTCTAAAACATGCCGGACCCATGGGGCACGTGCAGTTCTGATTCTCAGGATGTAGCACTTAACAGCTATCTCAGATCACCACACGTCCTCGCTAAGAAAAGCACAGTGGATTTCAGTCATTAGCCAGGCTCAGCTCTCTGAGCTGACAGTATCACTCAGGACTAGGAAACAGAATATGCAGGTCAGCTCATTTGCAACTGTGCACGTTACAGCAGCGCACCCAAGCTTTTGTCAGAGAGGTGCACCTCTCTGAAATGGATGAAAAATGGCCCAGATCCTGATGTGCAACCACGAGGAGCAAATCACCCTGCTTCCATCCGGACCTCAGCCCTGCAGGAGAGGGGCTGAGATACATGGATGCTCCTGCAACTTGTTTGCCTGGGCAAACCCCAAGGAAAAATGGACCCACAGCTCCTTCTGGAGCCTTCGGGATCCTGCTCAGCCTCCCACAGACAATTTCCATGTCTCGAAGGGCAATCATGAGAATGAAGTTCAGATATCAGCACAGACCCAGGCCATGGGGGCCCACCCCTCAAGCAGTTTTGTTCACCCATTTGCAAAACAGAGACGGCAGTTCTTGTCAACCTGCAAGGGCAAATTAGCTAAATGTCAGAAAGTGCTTTGTTGCTAAGAGGAACTACGCCATCTAAATATTCCTGCTGGGAGCCGAGGACTATCTGAGCCATAAGGGTTGCTCCTTATCCCCTCCAGATCAAGCAATCAGAAGCCTGTCCTTAGGATGAAGGGCTGCAGGACTGCTGTCACAGCACTGCTGCACAAAGGGCAGTTTGGAAAGGACGTGGCACTACCCATCATGATGTCAAAGCTTGAGTTGCACGGTGTGAAAATACTCCCAGATCCAGACATAGGTTAGATTTGATCCATCCCCTCCAAGCATTTCGGATTTGGAAGTAATTTGTTGGCTACCCATTTAATTAGCAGATGCAGCTCACAAATACATGATTTGAAAGAAGAGGAGGAATTCACTGAAATTGTGTTTGATAGATATTTGTAGAATGCTGCATGGCTGCCATTGTGACTGCGCTTTTGTGGAAAGCTGAGGGTAAGAACTTCAGAGCTCGTGCACAGAATTTCAGCAGCAGAAGTGAAATCTCACCCTTGGGCTGCATCACCTGCACCATAAACAGGCTGCTAAACACCTGGGAAGCCAGGCCCAGCTCAAGGTGCTAATCAGGAGCAGGCTCTGCTTGCTGGTGGTCAGTGCCCGCACGCACTGCCTGCAGCCTGGGCTGTGACACCCTGTGTCTAGGCTGGGTGCCCACAGCTGGCTCTGTGCAGCCACAGCGAGTGGATGGGCCGTGCTATGTGGGTGCAGGCAGCTCCCCCAGCCCGCCAATGCCAGGGGCAGAGAAAATGCCCAGCAATGGGATGGCCTCCAGTGTTTGTATGCACTTGACATCACTAAAACATGCAAGTTGTAATTGCCCGACTCGCACTGCAGATTTTTTCACCTGCAGTCAGATTTATGGCTGTATTTGTTGGCTTTTAAATACACAGAGCTCGGCTCCCCACGAGAGCAGGAACTCTAAAATTCACACATTCTACCCCCTTCCCAGGAAAGGCTGTGAATTTCCCATTCCTACAGGCTGATCCAAGCCAACGCAGACCCATCAGAGAGCTGCTGCCGACTTCAGAGGGCTCTGAACCAGGCCCCATTATTTCAGTTTATTGCTCGTGGTTAAAAAAAGAAGTTGTTGCAATGCTAATCCTATTCTCAGCACTGCTAAGAGTGGAGCGGTGCAGCCCAGAGCAGATCAGGATTAGGAGATGCTACGTTTCAGAATTCAACTCCGAAACAGCGAGCGCAAAGCAATGTATTACCAAGTGTTGCTTATCTACCAGGGAGCAATTCCCAGGGGTCGGGAAGAGGAACTGTTATAAATGTTAATAGAGCTGTTCCCATTGTAGACAGATGCTATTTCTGGGCCAGTATGACAGCCTACGAGAGAACGATCAGCATCGCTCCATATTCTGCTCGAGTGACGCCGCGGCGCGGCTGATCGCAGGATTATCTGGGGTAGCCAATGGACGGGAGGATATTTATAGAAATAAAAGTATTCTCTAAGGTATAAAGTAAGCTGATTTAAAAGGCTGGAAGACAAGCAGGCCAACACTGAGAGGTGGACTCTATCTCAGTAGCCACCAGCATAGATTACATGGTTTGTGTACACAACTTGAATCAAGAGCCAAGTAATAGCCCAGGCTACTGTGATTGGTAGTATTTTGTAAACATTATTAAGAACTGGCACCCAGCATTTTCTCCTTAGTTAGTGAATGCTTAAGGTTAAGTAAAGCTAGGCACAGACTGGTTTCTAACATACTTACTATTTTTTTTTTTTTTTAATTGGTGTTATGAGCATACTAGTTAGGAAGACAGAAAGCATTTCCTGATAGGTAGACTGGAAAAAATAACTCAGCTGAGTTCCTTGCAGCATGCAGGCACTACAAGGGACAAGCAACCCTCGCTGCACACATGCTGCTGGATTAGCACTTCTGTGCTTGCAGACACAGTGCTGAAACTGACTTGGTCCAACGAGAGACAGGAAACAATTACTTGGTATCCATGGTGGACATCAGGTAGAAAAGCCAGCAAATGGTGGTGCAAAGGGGAGACTCATATGCCAAAGGAGAGGAGCAGGGTCTTGAGGCAGTGCAGCAAGCAGACGTACCCTGAGCGAGGAGGGAGCACACATGGGGTGAGGAGCAGGATGGGTCCTGGCAGAGGAGCTGTGGGGATGGCTGCAGGAGTGCAAGGGCAGCACGGCATTTGCACAAACTAAGCAGACTGCGGCATCTGTAACAGAGAAGGGAACTGCAGGTGCTGTTTGGGTAATGAGCAGCACAGCATGGCGGCGCATGCAGCCTTTGGAGAAGGGCAGCCACAGGGAGCAACTCAAGGCTGGGCACGGCCAGCCAGCGACTGCCGCTTGGTCACCTCAGAGTTAAGCAACCTATGTGTTCTATGTCAGTTTGGCTTGTTTAAAAAACATCATTATCCTTGGTGGAGAGGGCTTTCTTTACAAGCACCGTGAGGAGACAGACTGATGGGGTCAGCAACAAGAAGACGGCATTTTCCAGACAGTGAGTGGGGACATACGAAAAGAAAAAATGACTCCTGACAATTACTGTGAAATCAGAGCGGGGCATTAAATTCAGAGATGCAACTAAATGGGTAAGTGCACTCATAAACACGTTGAGCATGAAAGGGAAGCTAACCATCTTATTAGCATCCTTCTGAAAACAGGGATGTGCGGTTTTATGAAAGCCTATCATTGCTAGGTTTAAAATACCCACTGAATTATCGAAGGACGTTCAGTTATAGCTGCATGCAGTAATCCTGTTCTCCTTAAAAAAAGAAAATACAGACATATATAAAAATACGGTGACATTTATAGTCCTAGCTAAGGGTTTTGTGGGTTTATTCAGCTTTAAATCCAGGCTGTAGATGGGCCTTTTGAACTAGTTGATGCATGTAACTACATCCTGTACCACAGAAGCCGCCGAAAGGAAGATTCACTTTATAGGCCAAAACAAAAATTGGTTTGGGACAAACAGAGCATTGAGATAATCTGTTTAAATATTGTATCAGATTGGCAATATAAGACCATAATGGAAAGAGCAATTTCCCCTCGTACTGAGGGCAGGATACACAGGGCATGGATAAAGCTCGGCCCGCAAGCCACGGCACAGCACAGTTGATTCCTATTAGGCAAGAGAAGTAAATGTATTCTGTTTAACTTTATTAACCACAAAGCTCAGATAATGAATTTTAAACAAAACCACCCTCCGTCACCAGCAATCTCTTATCTCGTGGATGTGGACATTCAGCTGAAATGGAATCCATTCACCGACACACAGCACGGCCACAAGCCCTGTGCCTCTCAGCCGCCGTGACCGCAGCACCCACCCCCCCCTGCCCCGGCTCCCCATGGGTTGGACCTTCACCCCCTGGCCCTGTCCAGCCAGCTCGTGAGCCGCAGAGGTGCCGGTTCCGTTTCCCAGCAGTGCACAGTGCCTCGCTCTGTCCTCCAGCCGCTCCTTTGTGCCTTCCCTACAACCGTGGGAGAAACTTCACACAGCACCCACAAACCGGCCCGCGATTCTCTCGCTAATTCTGCCTCTGCCACACCTACAGTCCTCCAGGAGGTTTCGGCGGTGAAAGGGCCAAGTTTGAACCTGCCTCGAATTCTCTCCTATCACTCTGTTATCTCTCACCGCGGAGGGGGAACATCTCCTTGTTCTGTGCCCGGCCCAGCCCTGCTCACCGCCGACTTTCAGCATGCAATGCAGCAGCAATTCACCATTTCTAACTAGTCAGATGAAGGCAGTGGGGACAAGTGATGCTTGCAGGCGGTCACACGGGAGTCACGCACCTGGGGAAGCACAAGAGGTTTTGCTGAGCCCAATCTCCTGCTTTCAGCAGAGGATGTTTGAGGCTCCATTTGCCGTCCAGCGTGCGGTTCTGCACACACACAGCTGGAGGAGGGGAGCCGGCCTGACAACTGCACTGATTAGCTGGTGCCCTGAAGAATGACGTTTGATTACCTTTATCTTCGGCTGCAGAACTGCAAATGTCACTAATGGTCATAAAATCACCCAGTCTTTTTCAAAACACAACCGAAGTAAATTAATCTATTGAGCACGGTTTATTCAATACTTCTTACTCTGGCAGAACTCCCAACAAAATCATTTGCTTGCTGCATGTCTCCACCATATGGTGTCATTCAATGCAGACTTTCTTTTCTCTGCTGAAATCCCACATTTAATGGAGCCGAGTCACCTCTTCCAGCTCAAACCTACTAACACAGTTTTCTGTCAAAGAGGTCACACGGCACTCTGTGTTTTGGTGCATTAACCAACAGCATGAATTCTCCTTTCATAATTAATATCAAACTCCTCTGCTCTTTGCAGACTTCAAGGAAGCACTCTGCCCTATGCAGGGGATTGCTGATGCCTGCTGCTTTGTCTCCCCTCCAGCGGTGCAGTACTTGGAAACCTCCTCCAGCTGTTGGTATACTGCACTCCCTGCACATCGTTTCCCATAAAACCATCACACAACCAGTAAATAAATGAAAAATGTGTGATGTGCAACTCTGCTAGGAAACTAGAGCAGCGGAGCACTGCTAAAGCTTTGGAAAATGTTTTGTTTTAATGGAGCCAGTTTGGTACAGCCTCCATGTCAGACAAGAGGCAAAGGGAAAATTCTGAGGACTAGGTACCCCTAGAGCAGGCAACAATACTTGCTGTTTTTATTAAAAATGGGAGCTTAAGGCCAGGAGGAAAATGTTTGACTACACGTTTTGCTATGTCGGTACTGCATTCTCTGCACAACATCTGCCTGGTGTCATCCAACCACTCCACGACTCAGTTTCCTCAGCTGTACAATGGGGCCACACTTTGACAGACCTGGTTTTGATGCAGTGATGTCATCTTCAGCCAGCAGCTTTAGAAAAACTTAGGTCGTCCCCCAGCCCTGTTACCCATCAGCAACATACCATCTCACTTAGTGAAGACAAGCAAGTCACAAGCTCTGCTTCACACAGCACTTCCAGAACTTTTGAAGGCTGCTTACCCTTTCATGTAACATCTCCCTTCACCCTTGCTGTGAGCCCAGCACATGTGCTGCTCAACCGAGCCAAAGCCTTCAGCACCATGCATCTCTCGTGCTACGCATTTTTATGGCTCATCTTTCCCTCAGTGCTCCACCTATGACCTTCCAGCACCCCTGCCTCACAGCTGTGAGAAATGCTGGTATGCTCTGCAGAAACAAGACACTTCCCCTCTGCACTTAGTCAGTTGGATGAGCACTGAAATAATTTAAACATCAGCTTTAACCCTCTTTTCACTGGAGCAGGAGCAAGCAGAACTGAAGAGGGTTTCAGTGCTTACCAGCGCAATTGTGATGGGTCAGAAACATGCTCATGGGCAGCTCAGATGGCAAGCAGTGCATTGTTATGTCAGGCTGTCTGGATCAGTTCTGACTGCTGCTCCATACCCCCCCGGCAGCAGAGCTGCCCTGGATGTATGTGCTAATGTTCCAGAGTTTCTGCCACTGAGAGTTATTCAGTTTTAAGGAAAGTTGAGACTCCAGAGAGCCAGTAACAGAGCTCCCCAACCTGCTGCCCAGCCCAGCCAGTCCATTACCCACATGGTCTGAGAGGCTGCAGCTCCAGAAACAACTCCCAGAAATGGAAAATAGACTAGGAAGCATTAAAGTGCTGCACCAAATAACACAAGCACTGGAAATACCCAGTCCACCCTCCCCATGCACAAAGCACTCACTCACTCAACAACAGCCAGATCCCAGACTACACCAGTTTATCAGGACATCACAAAGCGAAAGAGCAGATTTGGCTGATAGCAGCTGCAGGCCAAATGCGTCCCACAAAGCACAGCACTGCTGGAGGCAGCTGCCTTCATCTCCACAGCAGATGTCCATCCTGTGATGGCTTTGGTGCCTGGTGTGACAAGCTCCATCATCGCCTGATCTAAAATAGAGCAGGTCTCACAGACTTTATCTCAATCTCTTTCTCTGTGGTACAGCAGGTGGGAATGCAGCCAGAATTAACTCAGCAAAGATGAGGAGCTGCCTTTACTGTTCTCACTTATGCCTCCTCCTGTGCATTAATCCAGCTGGAATCCAGAGGGCTTCTGGACAAAACACAGCTTTGCCCTACAGAAGCTCTTTCCCCCATGACCATTTCCCTCAGCGTGGGCTCTCTGCACCCCGGCAGCAGCTCCCCAACCACCACAGCTGTTTCCCACCCCTCTGCTGATCCATACTCATTCTTTCCTGACAGTCCTTGATGGACTCTACCAGCATCCCCTGTCCCACCCCAAATACTGAAGCATATAGCTCTCAAGTCTATCTTTCAGCCTCACCCTAACCCGATACAGGCAACATTTCACCATCACCACACGTTTGTCTCTCAGTGATGCCCTCTGTCCTTACCGGACCCTTTGCAGTGAGGCTCCAATTCTTCTCCTCAGTGAACCCTGCTCCTCGTCAAATAATTTGTTTCTACGCTTGAGCATTCCTTTCCTCCCTGGATCATCTCTTTCTCACTAGCACAAAAACTCCTCTATTGCTTCCACAGTGAGTCTTCTCTCTTCAGCCCGTGCTGTCCCCATTTCCCTAGCCCATGGCAGAAAACCCAAGAGCACCCAAATCCCAGCAGCCTATCCTAGCCAGCCAACAGTGACTGGCATGGTACAGTGATTCCCCAAACTGTTCATCCCATCCAGGTCTCTCCCAGTCACTGGGCAGTGTCTCAGCCCTAGCCATGCCCAAACACCCAGCTCCTTCTCCCAGGCTTCTCTGCCAAGACTGAGCTCCCCTTTTAAGGCCATTTATCAACAGCCCTTCCAACTCTGTAAGCCCTCCTGGAGCTCCCCTGACTTTTGCAGCCCCCAGGAACCAACACAGAATGGATGGGTTGGAATGGATCTCAGAGCCCACCCAGGACCCCATCCAAGCTGGCCTTGAATTCCTCCAGGGATGGGTAACCCACATCTTCTCTAGGAAGGCCATACTGAGGTCTCCCCACAGCCTTCTCTTCTCCAGGATGAACACGCCCAGCCCCTCAGCCCATCTCCATAGGATAAGTGCTCCAGCCCTCTGAGCATCCTTGTGGTCTGCTCTGGACCCGCTCCAACAGCTCGGTGTCTCGTGCTGGGGTCACCACCACCACCACCACCTCCTCTTCCCCCTGGCCGCCCCGTCCATGGTCTTTCCACGCCCACAGATGCCCCCAGGCCCTCCCCAGCACTCGGTGTTCGAATGCTGCCCCCATCACTGCCAGGTCCTTCTGTCAATCCTCCCTTCTGCCTCTCCTCGGGCCAAGCGGGCTCTGCGGCTCTGCTTCCCACCCGCATCGAGGACCCACCAATCCCCCCGCAAACACAGGACCCGATCGTCGGGCCGGACGCCCCAAATTAACACCACCCCAAGACCAAGCGATCTCCTCCGACGCGGCC